AATTGTGTTTATTTAAAAAATTTTTAATACCCGGAGAATTTACGTAGTTCAAAATTCAAAAGGGTTTGCAATGGAATACTTTACTCTGCTTCTTTCCATAGCCCCAGTTCCTTTCCTCACAGCCCGTCATTGTTACCAGTTTCTTGTGTAGACAAGTAAACACATATTTATCCCCATTACCTTCTTTTTATACAAACAGAAGCATGCCATGTATACTATGCTGTTCCTTGCATTTTCCTCCCTTTCTTGTTCCTTTTTTTTTCTAGCTGCACAGGCTATCATTGATCTGATATAATTTATTTAACGAGTGCCCAGTTAATTGCCATTTAGTTGTTTTCAGTCTTTTGCTATTGCAGTGTCACAGTGAATAACCTAGTAGTGGGTATGTCATTTTGCACACCTGTAGGATAAGTGCTAGAAGACGAGTTGCTTTGTCAGATGGGCTGTACATTATAATTTTGATGATACTACCAAATTGCCCTCCAGGAGCGCATTCCAGTTTCTGGCCCACCAGCAGTGGATGAGAGAACCTTTTTCCTTTACCACCCACACTCTGTTACCCAGCCTTTGACCTTGGCTGCCTGACTGGAAGAATTGATCTCAGTGCAATTATAAAGCATGGTCCAATCTTGAAAAACAATAGAACAGAACACATCTGCTTTTGCCTTTGTATTGATGACCTAGTGTGGTGTTTCCAACCTTTTGGAGTGGCAGAGGAATTAAAATTGGTTTTTATTAACCATTTATGGCTACTTGTATGAATGAATAATGGTTAAAATATTAAAAAGCAAATCCGTTAATCCTTTTAAAAATAGATATTACATTGGTGGTGTGATATGGCTAAATGAATCATTAAAAACCGTGCGCTGTTTGGTTTTATTTGTCATGGAACATCTCTCCAATCTTGTTATGACGTACAGGACTTAAGATCAAAGAACCACAGAAATTTAGTACCGGCAACTTAAGGGAGGTCAGCAGTATTTGTCCCCAGTGATCTCCTGTCTGAGTAGATCTTTACCAACTCTGACCTTGGTGGACTTCTGCTGCCTTTCCCACATTCGTGAGATATAAACGTAAGCATCTGGCAAAGATGATGCACAGATCAAGGTGCAGAGATGGAAGGGCATTTGGAGCTTCTCTCAACCAATTTTCTTCGCTGGGAAGTCATGGAGAAGAACTTGCATGTAGGACTTCCCTTGAACAAAGGGATATGATTTTTATTTTTTTGCATTCCGGGATGCTGCAGGTGAATTAGGTATGGTTTCAGGAAAAGGATATTTGTCCTGTGGGCTTATATAAAGTAATGGACTGGGGGGGGGGGGGTGTATGTTGGCGGGGTGGAGTCAGGGGAGGGGTTCTGAAACGGTTTGCCAACAGAGGCTTAAGTTAAATTTATCTGTAAACATAATGTGGTCGCCACGCTATGAAGACAGAGAGAAAAACATATTATCACTTTACAAATAGTCAAACCAGGAGTGAGTGTCTCAACACATGCGGGCTCCCCTAGAGTCACACAGAGCCTGTGAAACGGAAGCTGGGCTTGCAGCCGACCCCTGGCAGCCGTAGACTGAGGGATGGACTTGCCCGAGCTGTTTTCGCAGCACGTAATCCCTCAGGACTCAGAAAGTGCCCCACAACTTTCAGACAGACAAAGTACCAAGTCCTAAAAGTCAGAACACCGCCGAGGTCCTTTTCCAGCACGTCAGGGTGCCAGGGAGGCCCAGTCCAGGTTCAACCAGATCTGGTTTTCAGTGTCCTTGCTCTTCCTGAGATTTCTGAGTGAATGAAAGAGCACTGACCACGCATGTAAGTGTTCTTCGCTTCACCAGAAGTTTAGGCAGATGACTCTAGTCTCCTCTTCCTCCCACCAGCAGACCTCAGACTGACGGGGGAAATATATGCCCTGGCCCCTCCATCCCGACTCCGCTCCCCTCGTCTCTTAAATTAGCTGTGTTGAGATGTAATTCACATAACGTGCAATTCAGCTATTTAAACTGCACAATCCAGTGGTCTTTAGTATGTTCAAAGAGTTGTGCCACCATCGTTACAGTTAATTTTAGAGCATTTTCATCACCCCCAAAAGAAACCCTTCCCCTTGAGCTCTCATCTCCCAATCTTCCCATTCTGCTCGGTTCCAGGCAACCACTTTTCTACTTTCTGTCTCTATAGATTTCCTTATTCTGGACATTTCTTATAAATGTCGCTATGTGGCCTTTTGTGTCTGGCTTATTTCACTTAGCATAATGTTTTCAAGGTTCATCCATGTTGTAGTATATGTCAGGACTTCATTCGTTTTTTAGGGCCAAATAATATTCCATTGTTTGGATATACCACATTTTGTTTACTCATTCATCAGTTGATGGACGTTTGGGTTGTTTCCACTTTTTGGCTACTATGAATAATGCTGCTGTGAACATTCGTGTACAAGTTGTTGTGTGAACATATGTTTTTATTTCTCTTAGATCTATATTTAGGCGTGGAATTGTTGGATCATATGACAACTCTGTTTAACATTTTGAAGAACTGCCAAACTGTTTTCCAAAGTGGCTGCACCATTTTACGTTCCCGCCAGCAATGTGTGAGGGTTCCAATTTCTCTTCATCCTCCCCAACACTTGCTATTCTCTGTCTTTTTAATTATGGCTCTCCTGCTGAGTGTGAAGTGGCATGTCATTATGGTTTTGATTTGTATTTCTCTCATAACTAATGATGCTGAGCATCTTTTCATGTGCTTCTTGGACTTTTTAATATCTTTTTTGGAAAGATGTCTGCTCAGATCCTTTGCCCATTTTTTAATTGGGTGATTTATATTATTGACTGGAAGAATTCTTTAAATATTCTGGATGTGAGTCCTTTATCAGCTATATAATTTGTAAATATTTTCTCTCATTCTGTGGGTTGTCTTTTCACTTTCTTGATGGTATTGTTTTCAGCACAAAAATTGTAAATTTTATTTATTGATTTAAGATTTTATTTTTCTTTCTTCTCCCCAAAACCCTCCAGTACATAGTCATATATTTTAGTTATGGGTCCTTCTAGTTGTGGCATGTGGGACACCACCTCGGCATGGCTTGGTGAGCGGTGCTAGGTCTGTGCCCAGGATTCAAACCAGCGAAACCCTGGGCCGCTGAAGCAGGGTGCGTGAACTTAACCACTTGGCCACGGGGCTGCCCCCAAAATTGTAAATTTTGATGAAGTCTAATTTATCTATTTTTTCTTTTGTGACTTGTGCTTTTGGTGTTGTACCTAAAAAGCCTTTGCCTAACTCAAGGTCACAAGTATTTACTCCCATGTTTTCTTTTAAAAGTGTTATTTTAGATCTTACGTTTAGGCGTATGATCCATTTCGAGTTAATATTTGTGTATGTTGTAAGCAAGGGGTCTGACTTCATTCTTCAGCATGTGGAGATCCAGTTATCCCAGCACCATTTGTTGAATTATCTTGGCCCCCTTGTTGAAAATCAATCAGCTGTAAATGTTGGGTTTATTTTTGGGACCCCGGTTTTATTCCATTGAGCTCTATGTGTATCCTTCTGCCAGTCCCATACTCTCTTGATAACTCTAGCTTTGTAATCCCTTGTCTTTTATTGGGAGAGTTAGGGCAGGAATGGACAATCTAGACTTTTCTCCTTCTTTCCCTCTGAGCAGTTATTGGATTCTTTAGATCCCTTCACAAACTTTCAACCACCTTTATTCCTCCTCTGTTCATCTTGCTGGTTTCTGTAGAAGATGGTGTCCAAGTAGTCCTGAGAAGGCCCAGCTGCCGGGCTCTGTAGTTTTCTCCTAGCAATGCCAGCTAACCTCTTTCCGACTCAGTAGCCTGGCTCTGGCGGGCTTTACTAGATATATAGAATTAAACATTTAGGCTGTGAAAAGATGCTCTGGTTTCTGAAACTCTCTAATTGGTTAAGTTTAGGATAATACAGCGTCCTGTACTGTTAAGAAATTTAAAGATCTTTCTGGAAGGCTATGCAAGCAAGCAAGCAATTCCAGCAGATAGCTCTCCCAAGTGAGCCATAACACAGCCTTTGAAGCCAAATCTGCTCTCTTTGGGCCTTCCTTTCCTTGCAGACATCTGCATTGCTGTCTCGTGAGCATTAGATTTGCTGATTTTGGCATCTTTCTAGTAGTGGAGAAATGGAAGGCAGGTGAGAGATCTGCCAGGAGAAGTGGAATTCTGAACAAAGTCACTTATCATTTCAAGTCCTTAAGCCAAAAAATAAAAAGCCCATGTGACAGCTGGAATTAACAATAACCATCCTGTAATTGGTGCCATTCTTTTCTGTCATGAATTGTGTGCAGCACAAGCTCATTTTCAGATGATCGTGCTTAGAGCTTGCTCTATGATCTATGTCATAATTTAAGCAACTTTTAATTTCCGTCTTGTATTGGACATTAACAAAAGCTATAAACAGAAACTGTCCTTCATCGAGAGCTTCTGTTAAGGAGCCCTGCATGTGGTGAGGGGTCAGGGAAATTTTCTCACCGGGAGTCAGTGGTTACAAGAGCAGATTCTGGATTCGGTCTGCCTGAACTCAGCTCCTGCTAAGTGAACTTGGACAGTTACCCAAGTCTCAATTTCTTTGTCTTTAAAATGGTGATAAGAATAGTACCCACCTCCTTGGGTTGTTAAAAGGTTAAAATCCCATGTCAAGGACAACACAGGCAAGGGTTGACTAACTTTTTCTGTGAAGAGCCAGATAGTGAATATTTCAGGCTTTGGGACACTGTAGACTTTGTGGTCTTGGCCACAGCTCCTCACTCTGCTCTTGTAGCAGGAATGTGGCCATGTACAGTGTGCACACGAATGAGTATGGTGGTGTTCCAGTAACACTTTCTTTTTAATAACAGGAGGTGACCTGGACTTGGCCTGCAGGCTGTAGCATGCTTAGCATGTTGCCTGGCATGTAGTGGGTTTTGAATAAGTATCAGCCATCCTCGAAGCTTGGGGAATGCCCCTTGACACTGCTTCCCGTGTTCACCCGCTCCATGTTTTTACCAGAATGTTGAGGTCCTGGCCAGTCGGAGCAACAGTTCAGAGCAAACCCAGGTGGAGGCGAAAGTGCGCATGAAGGCGCTGCAGGAGGAGAACGAAAGGCTGCGGAAAAGCCTCGGAGAGCTGGAGTGCAGTGTGGCTCGGCTGCAGAGGCAGATTGCTGACGCAAAAGGCGACGAAGCCAAAGCGAAGGAATTGCTCAAGAAGTGTGAGGTGAGGCTCTCGGGGCCCCTGCCTGGGTTTGGCAGCGGCTGATTCTTCTTTCCTGAGTGGTTTCAGAAGTGGGAAGGGATTTATTACCATAAGCTAGTAGGAAAGATCAAGGCGATAGTGAGTATATCCTCTCTGCAAACCATTTCTTTTGTTCCTGCAAGTGGTGTGAATGGGAGATGAACTTCTAAAGAGGCCTGAGAACAGGGCTCGTGAAGTCAGGGTGGGAGACATATGTACAGACACAGGGGTCCCCCTCACCCAGACATCACGCATGCTTCACCTCTTGACACTTAGCAGAGCCCTCCAAACACCCAAAGGGGCTATCTGAACCCTGCCATCAGACTGATTTTCATTCGTGACTGTTTATTCTTTAACACATAGTTGGTGGTTTTTGAAGTCACACAAGTTTAACAAACCAATTATCTGGTTTGCCAGATCTCTAAAAGTGGGAGGCTGTTAGCGAGAAACATACCGATGGCAGTGAGAAAAGGCAGCTGATAGTGAAAGAGAGGACAAGTGAAATGTCAAGGGAGATGTATTCCAACAGAGCTCCCCAAACCATCCATCAGAATCCCCTGGAGGGCTTCTCCAAGATTTGTGTGCCTGAATGCCTTCAGTACCTGCTGCTTCTGAAGCTCCAGGGCTGAGGCTGGATACCTGACTTTTCAAAAAATCATCCCAGATGGTTCGGATGTTCACTCCTGCCTAAGTATGGAACCACAGACAGGCACACACATCCAAGAACACAGTTGTTGTGTGCCACCTTGGGCCCATGAAAAGCACATGCCTTCCCTGCCACCGAGTCAGCTTCATAGGCACAACATGCCTCTCAGTGCATACTGATCCTGTGTTTCATTGCAGGCAGAAATGCAGCAATTAGAGGAAGCCCTTGTGCATGCAAGAAAGGAAGAAAAAGAAGCCATGTCAGCCAGAAGGACCCTGGAGAGTGAGCTGGAAGACGCTCAGGTAAACGCTGAGGGCTGTTGTCTTTATCCCTCCCAAAGGAAGTCCAGAGAAGCAAAATCAGAGGGACGTGTATGGATTGTCATTGGTCCTCTCCTACCAGGTAGCTCCTTTCATGATAATAACCACCCTGGACTTCAAACTATCCATCTAGACCAGTGGTTCTTAACTGGGTGACATTGGGCAATGTCTGGTGACATTTTTGGTTGTCACAACTTGGGGAGATGCTACTGGCATCTAGTGGGTAGAGGCCAGGGATGCTGCTGAACATTCTACAAAGCACAGGACAGCCCCCACAACAAAGAATTATCTGGCTCCAAATGTCAGTAGTGCCAAGGTTGAAAAGTCCTGATCTAGACATTGAAGAGCTTGACAACTTTCCAAAGATAAAATATAAATTGTGCGAGAAGGCTGCCGGGATTGGTCCCCAAGGCGGTGAGGAGTCGGCTGTCTGGCAGAAGCCAGTTTCCTTTCTCCTCTGGGCAGATGTGCTCCATGGATGCAGTTCTTCAAGAGACAGCTGTTAGAAGGAGCAGGAGGAAGTTGTTTCTGTGAAACTAGATAGCTGTCTCTATTGGAAGTCAGTAGATTCTTAGAAAATTAGATTTTCCCGTTTGAAGGTTAAAAAGATTGTTTGAAGTACAGTCTAAAAAAAAAAGCACACCTGCCCTGAAGTTCTGAATTGACTTTGCACAGTGACCTCAGTGTGATCCAGGTACGTCCTTCGTTCTGCCTGCTCTCAAGTTTTAAAGAACCAGCACCAAACCTCCCTCAGGCGAGATTCTGAGGAGGTAAAAACCTGTGTTTTTGAGCATTTGTCCAAGAGGAAGGTTGTTCATGTTTTCCATTAGGACTCCTTTGTTGGTGGGAGGAGGTGGGGGAGGGGCACGTGAAAAGTGGTAAGAACTGAGAAGCAGTCTGGTCAGATTTGTAAAGGCCTAATGCAGCTTTCCTTTCAGCGGACAGCTTCATCTCCTCGGAGAGGAGAGGGGAGGGGAGGGGAGGAGACTGTGGGTACTAGGATTCACTCAGGTCGGCCATAACTCGGGGGCTCTTACCCCAAATCAGTGGTCTAGCCTTCTCCCAGCTTTGCGGAGGGACCTTATTTTTGCATACAGGAAAGCCCTGTTTTTTTCCTGAGTTCAGTGTCTGAGTGTCCTTGCTTTGGATTTCTTTCTTTTTTCTTCCTTTAAATCTAGATCTTGGTTACAAACTCTTGTTCGGTTGATTTTATGTGGGTGGCAGTTTCACTGTGCTCCTCTTTAAGGCTTATGATGGCTACAGCCCAGCCACCATAGTGCAGGGTTTAAATCTGTGAGCTAGTTGAGGGCAGAAGGGGAGGAAAAACGTTTGTGCTCTAGTGAGACAAAGATCTGCACCCTTCTGTGATGTCCACACAGAGAGCTGGGGGCAGCTATTACAGTCGCTCAGTCTTTCTTGTTCTCTGATGAAACCAGAAAGTTTCACACATGAGGAAGTAGTTCACCAGCTGTGAATCTGTAGTTCATAGTTAATTCAGTGGAGAGAATAGATGATTTCCCCAAGGCCACAAGGTCTTAATGTAATCCCCACCCACCCCACCTCCGGATCTCTAGCCTTGCCTTGGAAATTATCCCTGGCGTGTTACTTTTGTTGAGGCCTGTTTTCCCAGTGGTGTTGAGATGGTGAGACCACGTCCTATGGCGTATGGCCGTGTTAACCACTGGCGACACAATCCGACAAGACTGTGTTGGCCCCACAGTCTCACTCTCTTTATCTGAATTATCTGGTCTCAGAAGTGCCATGAAAAATGCACCATCACTCTAAAATACCTTGTTTTCTCTAAAATCGGGAACCAGGCGCTCAGCTCCTTTAGCTCGATACTTCTTTGTGCACGCCTCTCTTCCCCAAGCTGGCCACCCGAAGGGAGCTTAATTAACCCTTGGGGGAAGACGAAAGAGTAACTGGTATTTTTTTCACACAAGCATTTTGCATTTCAAAAGCTTTGTGCCTTTAGCTATCTGTTGCATCGTCATGTACGATCAATATATTTCTTTACATAGTAGCTGAAGGCCATGTGAACTTATGTTGGATTTATCATGACTCAGTCAAAAAGTGGCAGAGGGTCCTAAAGATGCAATTCTTGGTGTGCTCACCCCCTACCACTTGGTTTAGAATTGTGCTGCTATGTAGAAATGCACAAACCACTTGGAGGTTGAATGGAGCCAGAGCTGGCCTGGAGCCCCTGGAATTGGGATCCAGAAGGAGGAAGAAGAGAAGCTGAGGGGACCTGTAGGGGCAGGGGTTGAGTTGGATCCTGAAGGATCTGTGGATGGCCCTCTGCATCTGTATTGTTGTTTTTGAAGAATTTACATTTTTGAGATACATGTTCCTGAGAGTTTTCTCCCACACAACGGGAACCATACCTTGCTGACCTTGCCCTGTGTGCTCCCCTTCACCCCCAACACCACTAAATCAACCACAAACACAAATCCCAGGGGATGCCCCTGTCTCTGGTGTGTGCCCAGCTGGGCTGTGGTGGGACATGCTCCTGCTAATTGCCCCCACGCTGAACTTCTGATTAGCTTCCTTTTGCCAACTTCTTTTTCCCAACTGCTTTTGTTGACCTTGGTTCTCTGCAGCAGTTAACTTCAGCAGACTGGCTGTGTTGGCTGGTTCCAAACTGAGGGGCCTGGAAGGCCTCTGTAGTGGCTTTTGGCCCCAGGTCATGTGCTTGGCCGAGCAGAGTGGTTCCATGCTCTGCAAACCAGGAGTGCCCAGAGTGATTTGCAAGAGTTTTCAAGATGTCCAGGTTACTGCATGTGACAGCAGCTTATAAACTATTAAGCATGGTACAAATAAAAACCCTTGTTCTCGTGTGGCCTCTGCAGGGACACAAGACTGGTAGGCCCTAAGCAGTACCCGTACTAACCCACATTCAGCCCTCAGCCCCTGGTAACATTTTCTAGATGATCCAGCCTGTGTCTGCATTATGCTGCTCCATTCTGAACTGTGCCACTTCTTGATAGCCTTACCTCAGTGGCCCTAACACTTAGCCATTTAAGAATCCACCATAATCTTCCTAAGATATTTTAGGCTTGTGTTTTAGAATTGCATGTTGTTTACATAAAAGACGTCTATCAATGTGATGTTGTGAGATGAGAGCTTCAGGGGAACTCAGGGAAGATCGTGCACCCAAGATAGTTATATTTTATAGCACGTACTAGTATTCGGTGCCGATACACTAAATACCCACCCATAGGCACTTTTTTTAACTAGTGTCTCTTCCACTTAACACCTTCTACTCATTAAGTTCCTCAGACTGTGGATTGCCAGATTCTCTTCTTCCTATGTATGAGTGCAGCCTGTGGATTCTGTTGATTACAACTCCCTCTGCCCAAGTGGACTTTTGGCCTGTGGAATGATGTTCTCTTTCCTTACAGATTCATTTTTAGGTATTCCAACTGTAAGACTCTCCTGCATAGCAGAGCAAATTCTAGAATATTAGGTATAATGCTACATATCATAGGATGTAAATTGCTGTGTAAGTTTAGGTTGGTCTAATGTATAACTTTACCTCAGTTTTCAAGCATGAACACTCAGGTTCTCAGACACTATCTCAAATTGCCACCCCCAGCAGCCTTGGCCATTTTCTGTATTTCTGTAACATGTCCTTCGTCTGCCCCTTCGTTCCTGGTTATGTGTTTGGTTAAGTCAGTTTTGCTTTTTGGTCTCTGAATTTCAGAACCAGCAGTGTCCTTGTGTCTCTGTGATGGCTTTATTTTGATCTTTTTCTTTATCACTGATATGACAGGTCTGATTGCTTTGTGGTGTGGCTGCGAAATTCCCTTTGCCACCTGTTCCTGTGGCTGACCTGGTAGGTAATGACAGCACTGTCCTTTCCCTGCCATCTGCAGAGAAATCTGAGTCGGGCCACCCAGGAGCAGAAGCAGTTGTCTGAGAAGCTAAAAGATGAGAGCGAGCAGAAGGAGCAGTTAAGGAGACTGAAGAATGAGATGGAGAATGAGCGATGGCACCTTGACAAGACCATTGAGAAACTGCAGAAGGAGGTAAGGGAGCAGGAGGAGGGAGAGAGAGGAGTCGAAGGGGGGGGAACAGGGTGGAACCGTTGGGTTGGGACCCTCGCTGAGGGCCTGATGGGAGCTAAGGAAACCTGCAGTTAACGTCCAAGCACAGATGTGTCAGGGGTTTGCAGATCTCCTGAAGCAGCTCTTTGACTTGTTGAGAATCCCAGATACAGAGAAACTGGTCCAGGAAAAGTCAATGCTAGGACCCCCTCAATTCTGGTCCCAGCTCCTCTCAACATTACCCAGAGAAGGCTGGCACGTAAGTTCAGATTTAACAGATGTTACCTGAATCAGAAGCTCTGCATCTGTCCATAATCTCTGCGTTTGCACCTATCTTACTTGTCCAGTAGTGTGAAAGACAGTTTCAGAGTCCCGTAGTTACTGTTCCTCTGCTCATCTCTGCCCTAAAATATCCAGAAGGGGGAAGGTACAACACTGATGGGCTCCCTGTATTCTAGAGCTGACACGAGTGCCTGCCGTTTTCTGACAGCTGCTATATACCAGTCACTTTACTAGCTATTTTCTATCTAACTAGAATTCTGTCTATATCTATGTATTGTTTTCAAGGTAGATATTATGATTTCAGTATTTCTAACAAAGACACCACCGAGGGCTAGAGAGGTTAAGTACGTGCTTCAGTCATATAGCTGGTATGTGTCAGGGCAATTATGTGACCCTGGACTATGAACCTAGCTCTAAAGGATGTGCTTGTTTGCTCCTCCATGTTGCTTCCAGGTTAGAGGTGACTAAACTTGGATAAGCCATGACCAGGTGCTTTGCAGAGCTTCTGGGGAGGCTGTAGAAGAAAGAAGAGGAGATGTGTTCTGTGTTTAGGTGGGACCCAAATCTAGCTCCCTGGGCCCAGATGGAGCATCACAGGGTGGGCTCACACCTGCATCACTTCTTCCAGATGGCTGACATTGTCGAGGTGTCCCGCACGTCAACACTGGAGCTCCAGAACCAGCTGGATGAGTACAAGGAGAAAAATCGCAGGGAGCTTGCAGAAATGCAAAGGCAATTGAAGGAGAAAACCTTAGAGGCAGAAAAGTCACGTCTGACTGCCATGAAAATGCAAGATGAGGTAATGCCTGGCTGATCCGTTCCCCGTTTACCCCTTATTCACAGTGCCCTTCCAGACTGCTTTGAAACTCTTCTGTGAGGGACTTGGGGTAGATTCTTAAGACAGCATTTGTGCTTGAATCTTCAATCTTAATCCTCAGGATGGTTACCTGGGGCAAACGGCATTCTAAGACACAAAGAACCCAGGGACTCTGAGATGAAACTGACGTAACTTTAACTTGACCATTTTCTTGATTCATCCAAAATTCTCTGCCTAAAAAGTTTAACTGCCTTTTATGGAGCGCCAATGACATGCCCAGCTGTGTTCAAATGATTTATATGTATTGATGTTTAAATTTAATCCTAGAACAGGGATTAAAAAAAAACTTATTTTTTTGCCATTCATTTTGAAAATATAGACATTTATTGGAGGGGGCGTGGTAGACAACAGTTTCAGAGTAACAATAATGGAGACAAAAAAAATCTTCGGGAATTTATGAGTCCTGAAGTTATTAAAACATATTCTTGGTTTTATGTTTAAGAATAATAGAGCAAAGTAACCAAATGTTAGCTCCCTTCAGTTTGACTTCTAAAGAACCGAGAAAAATAAAAGGAATGGTTTTGATTATTTTAATGGCAAGCTGACGGCTGTAAAATGCAAGTACAGTGTATGCTGATTTCTAGCAATGCCTCTTGCCAGCTGGATGACCTTGAGCAAGTTACCCTAATTTTCTGAGCATCTGTTTTTACCCCTTTAAAAATATACAAAATAATAATGATTTAATAATTAGATGAGATAACAAGCGAGACCATATAGCAGAGGATCTGTAGATCCTGGACAGTAATGTTGGTTTTTCTTAATTCTGTGGCTTACTTTTTTTCATAAGCAGTGCCAAGAGCACTGAGATTCCACAGGAAAACAAGTTTTTCTTTAAAAACAAACCTTTAATATCTTTGATGATCAAAGAAAAGTCGCCCATGAGTCAGTGCTGAAACTATGGAGAAGAACAATGGATATTTATTGCAGGCTTCTGGGACACTCCTGAAGGGACCCTGATAACAGCTCCCCCTTGGTTCAGGTCATATGATACAGGACTCCAAGTAAGAACTGAAATTAGTCTGTTGACATTACAGTTCTCTTTGACAATAAAAGAAAAATCGTTTTCACTTCTTCAGCAAGTGGGCGAGGGGATTCAGATATTTGCTAGAACATCAACAAACGTGTGTTCTGCTGTTTTGATTTCAGGAATCCCAGTGTCACAGAGCTTCCCATTACTTTTCATATAATAGTTATTCTGCTAGAATCTTCAGATTGGAAAGGAACCTTGAGATCCTCTAGTTAGGTAAAGAAACTAAGATGCAAAGAGATTAGTTAAGGACAGATGGAGACCAGTGTTGTTTATTAAAGAGCAGTAATTCAAAAAAGGATTTCTTACCATGAAAAAGATGGCCCTGCCTCGATTTTCTCCGTGGCCTAGCCCTGAGAGACACTGTGTCCACCTGAAGGGCAGAAATGGACACCTCATCATTCTAAAAGGAAGCTACGGTCAGGTACCACCCTCAATCAAGTTGCTGAGGTCGTGGAGTTGTTTAAAACAAAAGTGAATGAACAAGCCACGGTCACTCTGGATCTTTGAAAAACTCTGTTCACTGGCCCCCACCCTGTGTTTTGGTTGAGCTGAGTTAAATTCTCAGTAAAAAAGCTGCAGGGGTCTGTTCTAAGTACTGTACTCCTCGCCTTCTTTGCTTTGAGAGAAATGGATGTTTTACCTATTTTCCCTTTGAGTATAGAGCTAGAAAAGTTCTGATGAAGAGAATCTTTAGAGAATGAAGACTTCGGCCACTGTCGTTCAGTTTATTTTCTAAATCCACTTAACAAAGGGCAATTTTAACTACTAGTGTAAAGGCAGCACTAGTGGGTTCACAAGTTATTTCCTTACTTGTGATCCCAGACACTATGCTAGTTACTCTTGTGTTTATCCTACCGAGTACTCTTAGTATGACAGAGCCCTCACTAGATGTTTGAGGGGCATACTGGGTGTTAGAAGGTAGGGGCGTGCTGGGCAGTGGGATGAAGGACATGCTGGGCCTGCGGAAGGGTACCAAGAAGGAAGGTGGGCTGTATGCTCACCTGTCAATCTTCCTCACTCTCAAACCCATGTTCTTTTTGGGTGTTATCTCATTTGATTCTCATAAGAGCTCCATAGGGTAGGTTTTATAATTATCCCAATATGGCAAATTAGGAAACTGAGGCACGGAGAGATTTTCTTTTTATTGTTAAGACTTCCTTTTGGAGAGATTTTTAATGCTGTGGAGTATAGTACACCCTCCATATCCAAAGAATGTCCCGTCATCCTTTTGCCTGGATGATTGTCACTTTGTGCTTTCACTCACAGTGTCGTTTCATGGTTGTGCTTTCACTCAGCTACCACCAAAGCCAGACTGGGGTCTTTATCTGGAGATGTTTTCTTCAAGGAGCTGATGCCCTCACAGAAATGTCAGCTGTTGCCACCACCCTCCAGGAGAGGAACACATTTTCTAAAGTTTTCCCCCTGGTCTTCCTAAACTAGCCTAACCTATTATCGGGCCACAAAGAAAGACTGTCTTTACAGCTTCCCAACTTTTCTGTGAAGACCACCCCCAAAGGATGGTATTCTTTCATGGAGTTTGCCACTCACTTTCATATACTCCCTGAAGGAAATGGACCCCTGGTGTGTTGTACTCCTGACTGTACTTTCGCCCAATGCCCTCTACCATCTCCGGGAGGAAGGAGGTTGGTCTGCACCGAATCAGTCCACACAGATGTTTCAGGAATACCTACTGTGTGCTGAGGTGGCTGGTCCTCTCGGGAAGATTGCAGAGAAGTGGAAAACAGACAGTCCCTTGTGTCAAGCTCTTTGTCTGTTGCAGTTTCTTCAAAGCTATTAGTTCAGTGCCACCTTGTGGATGAAAAATACACTGTAAATTATAACAGCTGACATGATTTTCTTCTAGAAAACAGTGGTTTTCACCTAGTATGCGTGTTTATATTATCAGATTTTGTGCCTGCAGGTTTTTTTGGGATCATTAGTTTAGTTTTTATTTTCCCCTCATTTTAAACCTCTGTTGAGGCGATGCTGATGCAGGTCGGCAGTCAATTACACTCTGGGAAGCACTGATCTAGTTCAGTGGCTTTCAAGTGTTTTTGACCATGACCTATAGTAAGAAACGCCTCTTGCATCACAACTCACTAATATGGTCATCCCTACAAATACATGACTATCTGGTACAAAAGTTTCATAAAACAATGCTTGCTGTATTCTACTCTGATTTTTTTTTTTCTGTTATATTTAATTTTAAAATGCTGGCCAATATCTACTAAATTGAATTTATAACCCAATGGGCTGCTACCTGTAGCTGGAAAACCGCCTCTTTTTATAGAAGAGGAAACCGGCCCAGAGGGAGGTGGCGCTTGCTCAGGGTCTTCTGATCTCCAATATGGTGGTCAGTGGAGTCCACCTGATCCTCCTCAGGGTCAGCCTGCACACTGTCTGTCGAGATCTCTGTGGTCCTGATGTTCCCCAGCTGACCACCACACCTCTTCTCCTCCTAGATGCGCCTGATGGAGGAGGAGTTACGGGACTACCAGAGAGCTCAGGATGAAGCACTCACGAAAAGGCAGCTTCTGGAGCAGACGCTGAAGGACCTGGAGTACGAGCTGGAGGCCAAGAGTCACCTCAAAGATGACCGGAGCAGGCTCATCAAGCAGATGGAGGTCTGTGGACCGCATGGGCGAGCCCTGGGGCCTGTGGAGAGTGAATGTGGGACACGAGGGAGGCAGCCTCTCTGCTCGCACTTCAGCCTTTGGGAAGTCCTTGGTTTTTATTCTCTCAAACAGCCAGACGTTAGTAAGGTCATTTCTTGATTTGAGAAAGAAGCTGGTAGTTCGTAGACTCCTAGGATGTCAGAGCTGGAAGGAATGATGGAAATAATTTGGCCTAATGCCCTCATTGTCTTGAAGAGGAAGCAAGATAGAGTCCCAAAGAGGTTAGATGCTTTTACATAAGGGCACATAGATAGTTCATCTTCTGTTTGATGCTTTGGATGCTGCTTCCAACCACAAAGGAGATAAGACTGCTGTGAATCTAGAAAGGGGCTGAGCTGTGCCTTGGACCCAAACTGCCCAACTCCTAGGGACGCCTGGCACTCATTTGCCACACCACGTGCTCCATTCTTATTTTCTGATTCTGGCCTGTTTTCTACTACAGACGATCTAGCTTTGCCAAAGCTAGCCACAAACTGTGGCTCAATTCGTTTTTAGACGCACAGTCTATACATAGTCCACTGCAGCGGATCAGAAAGTGCTCAGTGGCGTCACCAGCTAGGAGTGATCTGGTCACCAGATGAAAACACAACACATTAGAAAAACGTGAGTCAAGTAATAGCATCTAAATATGAGCAGCCCACCGAGAATGACAAGAAGAACCTTAACATCAGCCCACCTGGACTTAGAAAAAAGAGCAATCCTCAAAGACAAAACTAACCACAAAGCGGAACTGCCCCCACCCCTCACACACGCCCCAGTGGAATTTTAGAGGGGGAGAGACAAGTAAAAACAAGCCTCAGACCTATAGGAGAAGTTAAAATTGTCAAGGTTTTGATAAAAGACAGACAGTGCTCAAGGCCAGAGAGAGAGCACTTGAATTTGAAATCAGTGGAATTCCTGATTCAACTTTGAAAAGAAATAGAAATAACTTTGAAAACCTCCTGGGGACTTAGTAGCAATTTATATCAGGGGAGTGATGTTTTAATCATTTTGGATTTTATTAGATGGACTCTTTTAGAGGCCAAAATAACCTAGTTAGAGTTTTATTATTCTTTTGTAGGATGGCTGTATATTTTGCTGATGTCCTGGTTCTGATCTCATTAGGGGACATCATTTTAAGGCAAGCTAAGGTCAACACAGTTAACTGGAAACTAATTATCCCAGGGCCCAAGCAGTCTGCGTAAAAGCTAGCTGAAGCATCTTTGAAAGTAGTGACCAGGCCGGTCCAGTGGTGCAGCGGTTAAGTGCGCACATTCCGCTTTGGTGGCCCGGGGGTCTCCGGTTCGGATCCCGGTTGTGGACATGTCACCACTTGGCAAGCCATGCTGTGGTAGGCGTCCCACGTATAAAGTAGAGGAAGATGGGCACAGATGTGAGCTCAGGGCCAGTCTTCCTCAGCAAAAAGAGGAGGATTGGCAGTAGTTAGCTCAGGGCTAATCTTCCTCAAAAATAAATACATAAATAAATGAAAGTAGTGACCAAGAACCTTTGGTATAGTGACCCCTGGCCTGGCCCATTGAATGCTCCTGCTTGGTTCTGTGCAATCTTGACTTTAGGCAAGAAGAGAGCCCTGTGAAGAGGTACTTTTACCTAAGGATTGGGTCATTCAGGTCATGTCCTTCTAGAATATTGTGACTAAAAAGAACATTTCCTTTGCTAACTGATAGTCTAGAAGCAGTGGCATGGTTAAGCTTCATTGGCCCCTGTGTAATATTTTAGGTATTTCTCCATTAATTACAAAATGAGTGGCTCTCAAGGCCCCACCACTGTGAAGGGCACTGGAGGGATGTTTCCTCCCCTAAGAGGCGGCTGGCAGGACCATCTTGCTGGGGCTAATATCTGCCTTGTTCCTTCGCTAGCACCTTAACCAAATTAATTCTCAGGACTCAAGAAGCTCTCTCAACAAGGGGCATTTTCTTATAAACTCAGACACTCAAGGTAACGTTTTTGTAAATGAAGCACTTGTGGGTCCTTGGGTGATTTCTGACCGAAAGTGAAACTGGTCTTGAGGAATCAGGAAGAACCATAAACAAATGGGAGGTTGGGTGCAGGACCCCAGCTCTCTGTCCTGAGTTGGTCTTTGGGACTCGTGGCTTCTGGGAGAGAGCTTTCTGGGGTCCCTGTAGATTTCCATCACTAAGAGGGAAGGCGTTCACAGACATTTAGTTATTCCCATGAGTTCTGTGCATTTTCTTTTGGTGTTTACAGAGGTTCCATAGCTTGTCAACCAACTTTGACAATTGCAGAGACAATGTTTGTGTATAAATGCCATAGATTCATGTTTAAAAACTCACAAGGCTCATTGCTTTTTAGTGTGTGTGGCTCTGAGTTAACCCAGATGTGTGACACATTGGCTGGTGACAGGAGAAACACATGCACAAACCCCACAACCCCCAGTCCTAGGTGGAGTGGTTTGTGTTAGAAGCCTTTCTTTTTGTACACAAAGCTCCTTCGAAATGGCTTTTCTCATAACACTTAATGATGTTAAATTAGGAGCCCACAAGGAAGGTAGAACTTGCTTTTCTTCTGTGATGATGGGTTTAGCAGAATGGGCCAGCACTGCGTTGGAATGACTGTGTATGTTATGCACAATGCAGATTTGGGACTGCATGACTAAGTGTGTGAGGTTCCCTGGAAGGAAGAGGCAGATGCGAAAGACTGTGGTAGACTTGACTCCTGTAAGGCCCTTTGAAACTCTGAGGGGAGGGAGGTAAAACATTGTCTCAACTTGGAGTATGTAGCTTGTCTGGAGCTTGGAGTAAATGTACCTTGGATGATATCTCTGCTCCCACACTGTCTTTTAACAGGTGACTTAGATACCTGTTGGTGGGCTTAGGTAGATCTTTGTAAAGTTATTGATTCATAGGGGGAAAAGACTTGAAGGAAACATGCTAAAATAGCCTTAGTGCTTATGTTAGGGATTGAGTAATATTTTTTCTCTTTTTATGTGTTTTCTGAATGCACAATTACATTCCTATTGTAAAAGAAAAAAAAAAACAGTTTTAAAAATATCTGTTTGGGCAGTATGAGAAATAGACATATCGTTTCGCAAAACCCTAAAGATACTCAGCTCTGATTTGTCCCTGAGGTTTTCCTTCCACAGGGCAGTCCTTGCTCCTCACCGGTCAGTGAAAGTTAAGTAGGCTGTGTTTGTGACTTCCTTCTTAGGACAAGGTGTCTCAACTGGAGATGGAACTGGAAGAAGAAAGAAGCAACTCAGATTTGCTGTCTGAGAGGATCGCTCGGAGCAGGGAACAGGTACTGTGCTATAGTTGGATGTGAGAGGATCGGTGGGAGCAGGAACAGGTACTGTGCTATAGGTGGATGGGAGAGCATCACAGGGAGCAGGACAGGTACTGTGCTATAGGTGGATGGGAGAGCATCACTGGGAGCAGGAACAGGTACTGTGCTATAGGTGGATGGGAGAGCATCACAGGGAGCAGGAACAGGTACTGTGCTATAGGTGGATGGGAGAGCATCACAGGGAGCAGGAACAGGTACTGTGCTATAGGTGGATGGGAGAGCATCACAGGGAGCAGGAACAGGTACTGTGCTATAGGTGGATGGGAGAGCATCACAGGGAGCAGGAACAGGTACTGTGCTATAGGTGGATGGGAGAGCATCACAGGGAGCAGGAACAGGTACTGTGCTATAGTTGGATGGGAGAGGATCGGTGGGAGCAGGAACAGGTACTGTGCTATAGTTGGATGGGAGAGGATCACTGGGAGCAGGACAGGTACTGTGCTGTAGTTGGATGGGAGAGCATCACTGGGAGCAGGAACAGGTACTGTGCTGTAGTTGGATGATGGGTGGATTTTTCTGTAGGAAATAGGCAATGTGAGAGGTTGAACCTGAGTTTCATCCTAAGGTCGGAAAGAGTTCACGCCATATGGAAATGATGAGAGAGTGAGTAGTCTTCACCATAGTAAGCCACTGGGAGGGAGGTGTAATGTATAATGCAAAGCATACAGTGGAAGTTTCCAGAGTAGTTATAGATAACAAACTATTAGTCACAATAGGCAAGTGCTTTGAGGGCTGAAGCTGTAGGAATCATTAGGTCAACAAGCAGTTGTGTGAAATTTGGTGGCTGGCACTACATTAGTGCTGTGGAAAGTAAATGATATGAAGCAGTCTTTCCTTTAAAAACTTGATGAGCTAATTAGCCATACATACACCTCCGAGGCATTCACAGTATGGTAACAATACCTTTAAGTGAACGTTTTTTTGCAGTTTCAAATGTACGAAGTTTCCCCGCATTGATTTGCAACCCTGAGAGGCAGCCAGGGACAGCTCATTGTCCTCACACTGTAGATGATAAAGCTAATTTCCCAGACGACACTCAGTATAATCCTAAGGTTTTTGGAATTTGTTTCCACTTTTTTAATAAAAAAAGGAACATTCAGAGTGGCTAAGTCCTGTCCTGGGGACGGTGGGTCACATCACTAGAAAGTGGTGGTACCATTAATTGGTTGCTGTGTCCCGGTTGCATGCCCAAACTACTTGAGAGAGAAAATATGCAGACATTGTGAGGCAAGGAGTCAGAACCCTCCATGATGGTTTTGAGGAGACTTTATGTTCACTTGCCTCAGCCTTTAGTTTTCATGATACCTCTGGATACCTGTAGAAACCTTTGAGGGGATGGTCCTTCAGGGACAACTTACTCAGTCGTAGGCCTAGCTCCTAAAAATGGTGCCAGGGAGACTGTACATGGACATTTAGAAAGCTCTTCACCTCTTGATTTGCCCTGGGCACTTTCTTAATTAAGCAATGCAAGCAAAAACCTAAAAGCCGTGGATGATGCTGAGTATCATTTAGGAAATCTGTAAAAAGGATTAAAATAAAAAAATCTGAAATACTAATTAATTTGGGAAAAATCTTCCCCATCCAAAGAATCGCTTTCTTCTGGCCCCTCTTCTGCTCATTCACACGCACCACCTTTCCCCACCTCAGGGTGACCAAGAACTGGAGGTTCCAATGCGTAGGGACAATGCTATCCTGAGCTGGTAGCCTCTGCTTAAAGTTGAAGGTGAATCACTGGCTTCTTTTCCATCTGCCGTGTTTCCCTGTTGATAGGTTCTTTGCAAACAAATAAGATAGTCATGCTGCTTTGCCCCTGAGAGTTAAGGAAATTCCAACCAGAGGCTCCATCCACCTCCCCGCTGAGCTCAGGTTCTGCCTGCATGTTCCATTGCTGTCCTACTAGCATTCCTCTGCCACCTCTGGAGGGGTGGCAGCCCGTCCGGCCTGAGCTGCAGAAGTGTAGAGAAAGACCTTCTTGAAAACCTGAAGTCCAGATGGAGAAGCCAACCTTGACATTTGAACCCTAAGAGGTTCTTACTAAAGTCTTCATTTTCTAAGTTCTCTCACTGGTATAAAAGCTGTTTGCTACCAGTTCCTGCCAGCTTGGCTCCATAGCTGCATCACCCCAGGGCATTTCAGGTTCTGCTGAGCATTCGTGATGAGGGAAGAAGTGGCCATAAATTTGTTTTGCTAATGCTTCTTGCGACTTATGCAAGGAGGAATGGTGGGAAAGGATGTCATCCTATCAACAGCCAGGCAGTTAAAACCGACTTCCAGACCCATGTTTTACACCGAAAACAGCACAGACAAACTGAACCAGAAGCTGGTTGCCTCTCTTGGTTAAGCTCATGGCTCAACACTGAGAAAACTGGTCTCTTAGCTCAGTCTGCTCTTGGCTCCTTCTTTCTCCTCTCGACTGAGCATCTGGATCGTGGGGAATAGAGCTGCTCTCCACAGTGTGGTCAAGGTTGAAAATATTTTCATTGAGCCAAGGACTTGAAGTCAGCCCAGGGAGGAAGAGAGGGGAATGAACTTGGGCTACTGGGAGGAGCCGTGGGCCACAAGTCCCAATCCTGACACCTGCACCTAACTCGTGTAGCTCGGGAATGTCCCAGCCTCTCTGAGCGGGGTCTCCACAATCTATACAAATGAGGTCCTTTAGGGGATTTCTGAAGGCTTTTCTAAATTCTAACATTGAGATGCTGTGAGAAGGTTTTGTTACAGCAAGAGGGTCTAAGTCATCCTCTCCCTGAGTCTGAGTTATATGCCTAAAAAGATGAGACTTCCACAACGTCTAGGCCTCTTCCCCCTGTTAGTTCTGTTTTCTTGTTTTCTTTCTTCTCACTGCTTTCTCTGAGGCAGGGAGGGTAAAGCTGGTGTCTCTCAGAAGTGGAGAAATTGAGCCCCATTTTCAAGTTGATGTAGGAATTGCTAAAATAATAACACAACACAACAGAACCCCTGAGATAAAGTGATGTCTCCTGATTGAGTGCTCAAGGCCTCTCCTCTGACCTGTGCCACCTCTGGATTTGTGAGGGAGGGGAGAGAAGTAAGTGAACCAAATTCCTGCCTTCTAGGAAAGCATTTGTTCTCATTCAAAGCCGAGGTCAACCTGAGACTTATTTGTTGCATCTTTAAGTAAAGGATCCGAGGAAGGGCCCTGGTAGAGACAGTTGGGCCCCGATTCTGAAGCTGTTTCCATCCACATAGGTTAACCTCTAGGGCCATGTGCCTGCTGCCTTCCTGCCTTCCTGCCAGAATCAGAGAAATGGGAAACTTCCTAAACCTCTGCCCCTCACATGCTTACCTGTGACACCTCCTCAACAGGGGATGTCTCCTAAAGAGCAGAAATGGTGCCACGTCTGTTATCTCCAACTTGATGTATACTCTTAGCCCTGAACACTCAGCAAACCACTACTAGGCACTGAAAAGGGGGGAGTTTTATTTTTTGAATCTTGCTGTCTTTAAATTAAAAAGTAAAAGATTATAGCTCTCTACTTAAACCCTGCTTTCTCACAAGCTCCTCTTCTGAATCTTTGCTTCCCCTAAACATCTTTCTCCTCTCTTAGTGGTAGGGCTTAGGTGAAAAAGCTAGAAACTGAAAGGGTTTTCCAGCAAAATTAGCAAATGGCCAACCCCTTTCACAGAATCTTAGATCTGGCAACGACCTCCAAGTTCATCTCCCCAGACTTCTTGTGCACCAGATGAGTGCTGAGGCCCAGAGCACTTGGCTGGTTAATTGCAGAGCTGGCCTTAGATCTCCTGACTCCCAAGACAGTGCTCTCTCTACCGGTGCTTACAAAATATGGATACCTACTGTGTGCATAGCATTGCAGCAAGGCTGTGAAATTATGAAAAGTGGCTCCTGTCCTTGAGATGCTGTGGTTTGAGGAGAAAGGGCATGCCTGAAAAATGGATAACTAACAAGAAAAAGCAGCAGACACTAAATACCAAGTGAAGGATGCAGACACCCTCCGAGGGAAAGACCATCACATCAAGGGGGACTGTGGAAGAGTTCTTAGAGGAAGGTGGACCTGGAGCCAGCTTTGAAGGAAGGGTACACTTTAGCCAACCAAGAGGAGTGGGAAGGGAATCCTCAACAGAACGAATGGCGTGAACAAGGACCGGGAGGTAGGATAGGTACAGCATTTGGAAGCGCAATGAATGGACCACTCTGGCTTGATCAGGTTGAGGGTTTTGGATGGACCCTATCCTGATGGCAGTGGGGAGCCATCGAAGGTTGTTGAGCAGAACAGTGGACCATACACAGTGTTCTAGAAGATGCATGTGGCTGGGGTTGAGGATAAGGACAGGGGACAAGGAGACCAGGAGGAAGCTCCCCTAGGCTGTTCCCAGGGACAGAGGACAGGAAAGGCAGCTGGGTGGTCGAACATTCTATCCTTTCCATGTTTTTTTTCCCTCCTCTTTCTTGTGCATACGTTTGACACTCAATAAATGCTGGCCACATTATTCGTGAGTTCTCAGCCTTTGTAAGGCCTTCCTCTTCCGTACATGCTCAGGATAGTATTTTTCAGGCTGATGGATTCAGGGAATCCTAACTGAGAGAACAGAGGTAAAGGAGTATTTATTTTCTCACCAAATATAGTTTCACCTTACACAGAAGGTTTCTGATCAACTTAAAGTGGTGGGAAAATTCAGTTAAAGAGTCGGGATTTTACTGGCTTTTGGTCTGTTTAAATCCAGAGAAATCCTTTTTTTCCTCCTTCCTCCAAATCCATGTTTCCATTTCCGACAATGCCATTCTTACTGAGGATTCCCTAGGCGCTGGGCACTGTGTGCCTGCCTTGCACACTTTCTCTCATTGCTTTTAGGGCTTTGCAGGCTGGGTGACTGCCTAGGGTCACGCAGCTTGTCAGAGGTACGGAGCCATCTGACTCCAAAGCCTGCCACCTCCCCCCGATCCATCATCCTAGCCTCAGACTGTGAGGGTGATAAAG